TTTCTTCTGTCAGATATTCTGTGAGATTCAGTTTGACTGTTTGACCTAGTCCTTTATTTCTCTGTGGGATACGTCCATCATAGTTTCTGTGGCTCAGTCATCAAATATGTTTTAAGTACTTACCTAGGCCAGGCATTGTAGGGCCAGTGGCTACTCAGCCTGCTTCTATGGAACTTACCGTCTAATGGGGGAGCGTCAGACATTAACCACATAATGTAAAACTGCAGCTGTGAAAATGCCTAATGTGTAAAAGGAGAAATACACTATGATCAGATGCTCTGGGTATTTTTAAAAACTTTTTACTAAAGTAACATACACATATAGAAGAGTGTACATATTACAGATGTATATGCACAAACTCAACATTCCTGTGTAGCTGTCAGTCACATCAATAAACAACTTAACCAGCACCCAGAAGCCCCCATCGTGTCCTCTTGGAGTTCTTACACCCATCAAAGGATAAACCGTGATTGCAACTTATAACACCACAAGTTGGCTTAGAAATTTTATCTAGTGTGGAGGCCAGAAAAGGCTTCTTGTGGAGATGTTGCCTGAGCTGAGATCTGAAGGACAGGAGTTAAGGCCAAGAGTGAGGGAAGTTACTCTGCAGGAGATCCTGTGGCAGGAGGGAGCAGGATGCATTTAAAGAACTGAAAGAAGACCAGGATGAAATGGGAAGAGAGGGTTCCTGGTACAGGAGGAGGCTGGAGAGGAAGGAAGGGGGGAGGTGGATTGTGCAGGGTCTCATGGGCCACAGTGTGGGGTTTTGTCTCATCCTAAATGCAGTGGAATTGGGGAGGGAAGGATCACATTTTAATTTCAAAGAGATCACTCTGACTGAAGGGTAGAGAATGTATTGAAGAGGGTCAGTGTGAATAAGGGGAGACCAGTTAGGAGGTTATTGCAATATTCTAAGCTGGGAAGGAGGTGGCTTTGTCAAGGGTGGTGGAAGTGATCTAGAGAAGTGGGTGGATTTGAGAGATTTCAGGGCAAGGATTGACAGGAATTATTGATAATCAGCCATGCAGGCCACAAGAAGGTGTCAAGGATGACTTTTAGGTTTCTGGCGTGGAAATGTGGAAGACTGGTTATGCCAGTTGCTGAGATTGCCTCAGCTCAACTAAAATGGCTCCACAGAATGTAGATTTGGGACAGAGTTGGCAGAACAAAGGACAGGTGTAATTGGTTTTGTGCCCGTCTAAGCAAATGTTGGCTGTGACGGCTCTGAGTCACAGATTGGCACATT